ATGCCCGCCTCACATCATCATACAACGTTGTAGATGGAACTGAGGACGTCATAACCGCAACAGTGACTGTCTCACTGTTGGGTTTCGCGACTGTTTCAAAGTCGGGACGACGTGAGAGTGCATCAGCGACGACATTAAGTCGTCCTGGTTTGTACTCGACCGTAAAGTTGTATTCTGCAAAGAATGACAACCACCGCGCCATTCGTTGTGAAAGGTGCGGGCTGTTCACTGCCGTGCGTAAGGACGCATGGTCAGTGTAAACAACGAAGGGTCTATCTCCTAATAGATAGACTCTGAACTTCGCGAGTGCATACTTCATGGCAAGGAGTTCCTTGTCATGCACTGGATAGTTCCGCTCAGCTGGTTGCAGCTGACGCGACTGATAGCAGAACGACGCGTTCAACGCCTTCAAGGTCGTACTGCATTAATGCACAGCCGATTGCGAAATCGCTGGCATCACAGACCACATGAAATGGCCTGTCCTGATCGGCTATTGCTAGGACTGGGGATTGTATCAAGCTCTGCTTGATACCCTCAAAGGCGTTGACATTCAGCGTTCCATAACCACCTCTCGTTCTTTTTCAACAAACGAGAGAGGTGTACAGTCATCTCGGCGTAATTGCGTGAATACTTATGCAAATACGCCGCTAGCTAAGGAATTTTCGAAGACCTTTGACATCGACCGGCACGGGCCAGTCGGTGATCGCCTTGATCTTTTCGGGATCAGGACGTACACCGTTCTTACCAACGATGCACCCAAGAAGTGGTATTTCGCTTGCTGCAAATATACACTTCTTGAGGTTTGCATACAATTGATGCTTTCGCATGATTGTAAGAACTTGTCGGACGTGGTACTTGTGAACCTCAACGTCCGACTTTCCATCCATAGCTCGACTATGGATGAATACGTCATCGAAATAACTCGGCGCGAATTCTCGTACTGGCCTCAACAGATGTGATACACACCTGTTGAACGTGGCAGGGGCATTACTGAGCCCTTGTGGCATTACTAGCCATTCCCAGAGCATGCCGCTAGGCGTGCTAACTGCGGTATAGGGTATATCCCGTTCCCGCATTAGGATTTGATAGAAGCCATCCATCAAATCCATGGACGAAAAGATGGTACTCTTTGACATACCATCAATGATTACGTCCTTCCTCGGTATCGGCGTCTGAGCCGGTACCGTTGCAGCGTTCAATTTGTTAAACGCGTGCACTATCCGCCACCCTCCTGTTGCTTTTCGCACACAGAAGGTCGGAGAGCTATGTGGGGAAGTTGATTCCCTCACATGGCCCGCTGCTAAACGATCGGCAAAGAACTTGTCGATCGCAAGTACTTGTTCACGAGGCAGTGGCCACTGCTTCATGACACAGTACTTCGAGCCTGGTTTAAGCTCGACTTCGTGTCGAATACCTTTATCCTTCGGTAATTCGCACGGAACAGTTTCAGGGAATACATCCTTGAATTCAACCAAATCTTCATAGAGAGGATTTTCCTTGAGCGATTCCCATGATTGGGACTCATATCGCTCAATTCGTGTCTTTTCATCTAGGACACTCTCGTCCATAGATGAACTACTGAGAACTCTCTCGTTCTCAGTAAACACTGTTGCTGACCTTATGTCGGTTACATACTCGTCTTCAGCGACGAGTATGCAGATCTGCTTGACTTTGCCACTACGCAGATCACGCAAGAATCTTTTATGTTCGAGCGTTGGCAACTGAGTGATCTCCGAAGTTAACTTCGGAGGCGCAATCAGATCAAGTGTATAAGCGCCTACACTTGATCCGTTATTGACTATGACATTCAATGTCTCTGTCATTTCCTGGGGACTTATTCCCTCAGGCTTCGAAGGACTTATTCCTTCGTCTTCCCGGGGACTTATTCCCGCGGGTTTCGGGGAACTTATTTCCGCCGTATTTGTAATCTTGGGACTTATTCCCTTTACTTCCTCTAGCTGGGGTTGCGCAACCACAGCGAGATCCTCTACGAAAGACTCTCCAGTCGATCTAGGATTATCGTTTCGCTTAACCTGAGCGATCGATTGTTTCTCTTCTAGATGTTTCCCTCTAGGGATACATCTTTGTCCCAGTCCACCCGACTTATTCGAGTGGTGGACCTTCAGCGCAGCCTGTGTTTCCTCACAGCCGCCGGAACTTTGCTCGAAGTGTAACCGTTTGGTACACTAAGGTTTTGTGCAGTCGTACTAACGACCGTACCACAAGTGAGGCCATCGCACTCACTCGTAGTACATCCACACGCTTGTGGACGCTCCAAAACGTTCATCAGATGGCCATCTGATGAACAAGCGGCAGGCATCGTTACTGTCCGATGTTGCCAGTTTACCCGTGGTTCGTACCTTCTGAGCCACGGTATTCCAAGGATGACATCAAATTTGTCATCCAAATCCAATACGATAAAGTCATCGTCGTATTGGGTATCTTCTAGCGTATAGTGAATCTTCACTATACGCTTCATATTTGTTACGGATGCGCCTGTCGCAAGACGTACCGTCATCCTCGTAGGAGGTGTGTCACATTCACTGAATTTAAAGTGACCATCTTCTAGCGATTGGCGTCGCACAAAATTGTTGGACGCCCCACAATCGACTAGAGCTCGAAGGGACAACTTATTCGTCACTTCGAGTTTCAAGGTAATGAGTGAGATCTCATTACCTAGAGCAGCAACGCACAATGTCTGTGTGTTGGGAGCAACCTTCATCAAGAGGCCTACAAATTCTCTTGACGTTGCTGGATCAGTAGGGTGCTCCGCACCTACTGATCCTGTCCGTTTTTTGACGGTCCATCCCGTTGTTGCGTCTTTGCACCAACTGCGGACCCTCGTCCCTGCCCCTTTCTCATGGGTGGACGGTCACTACGCCCAGTGTCGCGAGACACTGGACGAGGCACTACACTCGTAAGCGTAGTGTCCTGTCTTTTGACATCTGTTGCATCTCTGCAACTTCTTGTAGCCTGTAGAGCGAGCCTTCTCGCTCTCTACATAACAGAGTTCCATCGGCTCTGGACCTCCGTTGTCATATCGTCTCGGTTGACGATATGATGTCGAGCTGGCGCGAGCCTGTCTCAGACTGAAGTCTTCCTGCTCCGCAATTGAAATGGCTTGTTCTAGTGAATCTAGTTCAAGCCGGAACAGGTGAGTCTTGACAGGACCATCCGCAAGACCCTGCATGAACACCGAAACCAACGTGTGTTCATCCACCGGATTGGAACTTATACAACTCGTGAGATGTCGTATATGTTGAGCGTAAGCGTGCACATCACGCTTACCCTGCTTGAGCTTCAAGAGTTCGGTTCGAGCTCTGAACTCAGCTCTAGGCAGTTCAAACGTTTGTCTGAGCCGCGACTTGAAGACTTCCAACGACCCAAACGCATATGGGTCGTGCGGCTTGAGCCCCAGTGCCCAAGTCTTGGCACGTCCTGCCAGATTTGACTGGGCAAATGCAACTTGCATATCCCCGTCGTCGATGCGACGCGCCCTTATGGCGTCATCCAATTCGACGAACCATCTCAAGAGGGAGTCTTCTTCGACCCCCTATACTTTGAGATGTCAATCTTCAAAGTCTCGGGCCGACGCGAGTGCATCGACCCGCCAGCAGCAGCCTGCTGCTGTCTCAACAGTTCAAACTGTTGAGCACCTTGTTCTCTCAACAACTCTGCTTGTTGAGAACCTTGTTGGTGAAGCAAGGCTACTTTCTCGCGTTCTGCGTCAAGTTCATTTTGAATGAACTTGGCGATAGTAGCATGTTGGGCATCTCTATTGAGAGCCTCTGGCATGACGCTAACAGCATGGATGCCCATGGTCGAACCCATTCGTTCAACCGCATCCCATTCGACATCGCTCAAATGGGAGTAGCCGTCACGCGTAGCGTGAAAGCTTTGGTCATCTTCATCATCCAACATATTCATGTTGGATGTGAACGCGGTCCTTGGACGGACTACGAAGTGCTACCAGGTGTAACGGGGCACCCTGAAGCTTGTACTGGTGACAGTACAAGCTACTTATTCTGATAACAGAATAAGGCGGTGCCTCGTAACTTCACGTACACTCGTACGTGCAGAGGAAGACGGTAAGAAGAAGCGAGTACTTGGTTAGAGTAAAAAGTAGAACTGTATTTATAATAGTTAATGTCTGCAATAAATCACTATTTATCTTCATCTAACTATGTCTAAATACAAATGTGTAAATCAGTTATCTGCTCACCACTCATTGCGTGCGTCTGTCGTGGCGCGTCTTCGTTGGTTGATATAATGGCCTATATCAACCAATTAGGAACTACTTGGAAGTGCTACAGAATATTGTCCTTATGACAATATTCTGAGAATATAACTCTTATAGTTATATTCTATTAACAATTTCTTATAAATTGTTATGTAACGATTCACCCCGTTACACAAGTACTCGCTTCTTCTTACCGTCTTCCTCTGCACGTACGAGTGTACGTGAAGTTACGAGGCACCGCCTTATTCTGTCATCAGAATAAGTAGCTCGTACTGTCACCAGAACAAGCTTCGGGGTGCCCCGTTACACTTGGTGTCACGAAGTACGTACGATCCAACACTTGAATGGATTATGATTTAGGTGAGATGTAGCAAAGGCGAATTATATTGACGATGCTGCAACACGGTGCAAAACTGGCCACTTTGCGAATTGGCCATCGTTTTGTGTGTGATCGTGTGATGATGCGTAGACATTTGACTGAAAGAATGTAAAATACGCTATCTGACGCTATAATCCCGAAAATTTATCAAGGAAATTTGTCAGTGAGCTATTTAATGTTGTGTCGTGCATGAGGTCGGAAAGTTAGAAATAAATCGTACCACACGCCAAGTACATTCGTGATCCCTTATATCAGTGAGCACGGGATTTGGGTACGGTGCTGATTCATCTTGGGTACGATCCAGACAAACCACAAGTGATATCTAAAGTCAGAAATAGATCACTCCCTCAGCCTTTTGCTACACACTATCGATTTTGCACCATGGACCTGTCCGACATTCCGTTCAATGTGCCAGTAATCATCCAAATGATACGAAAAAAAGAAAAATCTGCAGAATCCTCTCGGGTCCAAAAAGCTAGTTGCTTAAAAGACGACCGTGACATATACGAGCACGTCATTCTGCACCATGTTCGTGACGACAAGGTCGCTATCGAGTCTCGACGCAACGGCCGCTTCTTGCAAGTGCGAACGTCGGGGAAATGCGTGTTCGATCCTACGGAACCTGGTGAATGGGAACTTTTTACCATGGAGACGAACTGGAAGTGTTCCCTTTTCTTTGTGTCATGCCACACAGGAAACGTCCTCCAATGTGCCGATCCCGATATTGTTCTGTGTGCAAATCAGGATCATGAGAGTTGGAAAGCGTAGAGGATCGTTGAGCCCCGCAGCACAGCTACCACCTCCCAGATGCAGCAAGAGTTGAATCCACGCTATGCTCTATATAATAAGGACCGCGTGAACTTGGTGCTGGAGCTTGCAAAGTGTGGCAAAACACCGGACGAGATCGAGGAGATCTTGACAAGATTGTTTGACAATCTAGCCGCCACAACAACTTCGGGCTCGGCTGTCGCTGTTTCAGTTACAAAGCAGTCGACATGATATATTCGCGTTTACTTGTGCTCGCATTTTCGGTTGACATGAAGAAGGAAGGGTCAGGCATCATAATGACTGATGCGCGTGACGGGTTTACACATGAGAGTTTGCCTACGAAAGATAATTGTCGTGAGTTGTCGCCGAGAAGACACTGACGCAAAAATAAATCAATTGACTTTGCAGTCTACTACGTAGCAATCTGTCTTTGATTGAATAGGGGGGGGGGGTTGGCTAGTCTTGATTGCTGCATATAGTTTCCAACTCCCGTGTTCCACGTTCGTGCTTTCTATCAGCAGGGACACGAGCAGATTTTGTTGACCGGTCCTCGCATGATAAACGGTCTGAATAGTGATTCATGATGGACTGCTCTCGCTCCAATTGTTTTCGCTGTATCTGCGAGTGCCGGATTGCGAGCAGTGTACTGCGCGGACAAATAACATGTATGTCAACACTCGGTCAACTTCATTATTGACTGCATTAGAATCTGATGGGCGACCTGCGTCATTGTTCTTACAGCCGATTTCTATCGGTATTACATTACTAGCACATCCCATCTCTACTGCCAAGATTGTTTTAATGGAGGCTTCTTCTTTTACTACAAACGTGTGACCGTTGTAGCAAACCGTCAGAACAACAAATTTACGAAAAACATTTGTACTAGCGCAGACCTTGCGTCAGGTTCGTCGTTTAACATATAACGGCATCATCTGGTGTGCGACTGATCTATCCTCTGTTGCTCCAGAAAATTCATATAACGATCCTGATAAGTGGTGTCTGAAGTCAAGACTCTTTAACTTCCTCAGCCTTTGCCAAACACTATCGATTTTGCGCCATGGACCTGTCCGACATTCCGTTCAATGTGCCAGTAATCATCCAAACGATACGAACGAAAAAAAATCTGCAGAATCCTCCCGGGTCCAAGAAAGCTCGTTGCCAGACGGACAATCGTGACATATACGAGCACGTCATTCTGCACCATGTTCGTGACGACAAGGTCGCTATCGAGTCTCGACGCAACGGCCGCTTCTTGCAAGTGCGAACGTCGGGGAAATGCGTGTTCGATCCTACGGAACCTGGTGAATGGGAACTTTTCACCATGGAGACGAACTGGAAGTGTTCCCTTTTCTTTGTGTCATGCCACACAGGAAACGTCCTCCAATGTGCCGATCCCGGTATTGTTCAATGTGCAAATAAGCATCGTGAGAGCTGGGAAGCGTGGGGTATCTTAGAGCCTCGCAGCACGGCTACCACCTCCCAGATGCAGCAAGAGTTGAATCCAAGTTATTCTCTATATAATAAGGACCGCGTGAACTTGGTGCTGGAGCTTGCAAAGTGTGGCAAAACACCGGACGAGATCGAGCAGATCCTGAAACGACTATTTACAGGTTCAGCCGCCACAAGTGCTGCAAGCTCGGCAGTAGCTGTATCAATCCAAAAAGATTAAGCGTGATCATCACGCGTTCGCTTTTGCTCACATGTTCGGTCGACGCGCAGGAAGATGGGGCGTGCACGTTAGGAGCCATCTCGACCTTTGTGAGGTACACATGAGAGGCTCTGTCATAGGGGTAGTTGGTTATAACCAACTCGGTTGTAGGGATATCGACACAAGAATAAGTCAGTTGCTCTCGTCTCTGTGACTTCGATGAAGCCGTCCATTTGTAATCGCGAATGCTCTAATATACTGTGTATGTTTGCAACGTCGGTTTCCATGATTTTGCTTTAATTAGCACCGGTCGTGGCCCACAAAACAATAACATAAGCCTATTTTTGTGTCGTGCTAGATACCGCAGTCAAGGCGACATACACTGAATCGCATCGTACCCCACAGCCGTAACCACTTTCACCCTGCGATATCCTCCCAACTAACGCGACCGTCTCGTTCATGTGCGCCACACACATCCATCGTCTTCGCATACCGGTATCCTCTCCTCCGTCGCTTAGACCCTTTCATCCAATCCGCACCGTCGTACCCTCCCTTTCAACCAATCACCTGCCATCCCTCTCCATTTCTAAACCGCTCGCACGCCCACCACGAACAATCCATCAAGCGGTCCAGCATGAGCCAAGCGTCGAGCCACGTGACGTCCCTCGAGCAAGCCATCGAAGCCCTGGACGTGCGCGTCGAGTCACTAGAAACCCAGATCACGAACGCATCCTCCTCTCTCTCCCCGGCCGAAACGTGGCCCGCTGCGCGCATCCGCAAGACGTTTATCGACTTTTTCGAGTCACACGAGCAGCTGCCCCATATATTTTTCAAGTCATGTCCCGTCGTGCCACTGGACGACCCCACACTGCTGTTTACTAACGCGGGTATGAACCAATTTAAACCCATTTTCCTAGGCCAAGTGGACCCGCTCCAGCCCATGGCCAAGCTCACGCGCGCGTGCAACTCGCAGAAGTGCATCAGAGCAGGCGGGAAGCACAATGACCTGGACGACGTGGGGAAGGACGTTTATCACCATACATTCTTTGAAATGTTAGGTAATTGGAGCTTTGGTAATTACTTTAAGCAGGAGGCTGTGCACTTGAGTATGACGCTCTTGACCGAGGTGTTCCAGGTTGACAAGGAGCGGCTCTATGCCACGTACTTTGGCGGTGACAAGCAGCTCGGCCTTGCGCCAGATGAAGAGACACGGCTCATTTGGCTCCAGTATTTACCTTTGGAGCGCGTGCTGCCGTTTGGCTGCAAAGATAACTTTTGGGAAATGGGAGACGTCGGTCCTTGTGGACCTTGTACGGAGATCCACTATGACCGGATCGGGAATCGCGATGCTTCACAGCTCGTGAATGCCGATGTGCCTGATGTAATTGAGATCTGGAATAATGTGTTTATCCAGTTTAACCGTGAACAGGATGGAAAACTCGTGCCGCTCCCGCACAAGCACGTCGACACTGGGATGGGGTTTGAGCGTCTGGCGTCGATTTTGCAAGGCAAGGACTCGAACTACGACACAGACGTATTTACTCCGCTCTTTGCAGCTATTCAAAAGTCCGCCAACTCGGCGCCGTACACGGGCAAGTTGGGCGAGGAAGACTCGGACAAGAAGGACATGGCCTACCGTGTTGTAGCGGACCATGTGCGAACACTGACGATCGCTATAACAGACGGTGCGGTGCCGAGCAATGACGGCCGTGGATACGTGCTGCGTCGTATTTTACGTCGTGCAGTGCGTTACGGCCAGCAATTCCTGAATGCGCCGAGTGGTTTTCTCACGCAACTGGTGCCATGTGTGGTGGAGATGCTGGGTGAGGCTTATCCCGAGCTGGTTGATAAGCAGAAGAAGGTGGAGGATGTAATTTTGGACGAGGAAAAGTCGTTCGGTCGTACTTTGAACAAAGGCATTGAGCGCTTCAAGAAGATTGCACAGAGTATTCGTGAGGCTAGCGCACGGTCAAATAAGGCTCTTGTTGTGCCTGGCGAGGACGCGTTCTTCCTTTACGACTCGATGGGTTTTCCTATCGATCTGACGGAGATCATGGCCGAGGAGGAGGGTATGACGGTGGACATTAAGGGATACGAAGAGTGCATGCGTCTACAGAGTGAGCGCTCCAAGATGGACCGTAAGAAGGGTGGCAGCAATGGTACACGTCCGCTTGTCCTAGAGGCCCGCGAGACCAGCACACTTGCTGACAAACACGTTGACGTCACGGATGACATGGCCAAGTACGACTGGAACATCAAGATGCCAGCTAAGGTATTGGCTATCTTTACGACAACGGAGTCCAGCTCGAACTTTGTGGAGGAGGTCAATGCTGGTGATTTTGAGCGTGTAGGTGTTATTCTGGACAAGACTTCGTTCTACGCTCAGGCTGGTGGCCAGATTTATGACACTGGTGTGCTGAGCAGTGGTAATTTCAAGCTGGACGTGGACTCAGTAGAGTCGTACGCTGGATACGTGATGCATATGGGCCCTATTGCGTTCGGGTCCATACGAGTTGGTGACGCTGTGGAGTGTGAGGTGGATTACGTTCGTCGTGGTAAGGTGGCTCCCAACCACACCATGACGCACGTGCTCAACTTTGCGCTGCGCAAGGTGCTAGGTACGACTGTGGATCAACGTGGGTCGCTTGTGGACGAATCGCGTCTGCGTTTCGATTTCACGAACAACAAGGCGCTGAAGCCTAATCAGTTGGCGGAAGTAGAGGCTATTTGCGATGATGTGATCAAACAGCAGTTGGAAGTATTTACGCAGAACTCTGCACAGGCTGAAGCCAAGCGCATCCAGGGCCTGCGTGCCGTGTTTGGTGAGACGTACCCGGACTTTGTCCGCGTTGTTTCGATTGGCCAACCTGTTACTCCGATGCTCGAGGATCCGGAGAATAAGTTATGGAGCAACTTTTCGGTCGAGTTTTGCGGTGGCACTCACCTGAAGAACACTAGAGAGGCCAAGAGGTTTGTTCTGTTTGAAGAGTGTGCGATTGCCAAGGGCATACGGCGTGTGTCTGCGTACACGTGCGACCTCGCCATTGAGGCTGAGGAGCGTGGCGAAAAGCTTCAGGCTGAGCTGGATGCTATTGACAATTTGAGCGGTATCGAGTTTGTAGAGCGCGTGTCGTCTTTTAAGCCCGTGCTAGACCAGGCGCTGATCTCGCTGCCGCTGAAGGACGAACTCCGGAAACAGGTTGACGGTCTTGTGAGCCGGGTCAAGATCATAAAGAAGGAGGCTGCCGCTGCTCGTGCCGCCAACGGTGTGCATGACGCTACCGTCGAGGCTACGAAAGCCAGAGATGCTGGTGAGGAGATAGTTGTGGTAAAGTTCGACGTCGGCACAGACTCGAAGCTAGGCCGCGAAATGCTGGACGCAATGAGCGGGATCATTCCGACGGGCAGTTTCATGATCTTCAGCACGGACTCGGACACCAACAAGACGGCGGCGTTCACTCGTGTAAGTCAGCAACATGTTGACTTGAAGCAGCTGGATGCGCGAAAGTGGGTGAACCACGCGATGGTCGTGATGAATGGAAAAGGTGGCGGCAAAGATGTGCTGAACGCCACTGGCCAGGCCAAGACAGTGGAAAAGGTCGACGAAGCTGTGACACTCGCGAAGGGTTTCATTCAGTAACTGAGCGCCGTCGTTACGCTCGTGTTGCTAGTGTATTTTCCTGTTTGTCCGGTAGAAAACCTAGGATCGCCAAACCCTTGGCAAGCACTAATGCAGACAATTGACGGGCATGTTCGCGCCTGAGTTTTCTCAGTATGAAGTACAGGGAACTGGCAATTTCACGGGTCAAAGTGAGGATCATCGTATCATGGTGCATGTAAACAAAAGCTGAAAATGATAGTCATGCCACCTCTCATGCAAATCGTCACCCGGGATTTTCTACGATATGGTACTAATACTACTCATTAGTGTAAAGGGTGCACAACATATTGAAAGGCATTCAGCAAATTGTCAGCGGTTGTCCAAGTCTCAGTCTTTATCATCTGATTGAGGCGACCTCTTGGTACAATCGTGTGGAAAATAAGTATGCGGCAGTAAAGTTACCCGGTAAGCTATACTCTTTTTGGACAAACATCCTTTGAGTTTGCATCGGCTCTGCTATTGTACCTACTGTTGCAAGCAGCATTCATGTACGACTCCAACATAGCCATCATATCGCTCTTTCAAGTTTCTCATTTTTCTCAAGCCAATCGAGCCGCATATGTTGCATAAACAACGCACAGTGACACTGCTAGCAAATACATTTACGACGAACAAGGAAGTAAGCTAGCTGTTCGTCTTCTCGATCCCCACTTGTCCATCTACAGTGGACGTTAGTCCAACTTTATTGAGTACCTAGTTCTCATGCATACGGCATCGATCATATCGAAACGGTCTCCAGCAATGCTTTGATACACGACCCTATACATACGTCGGATCCTTTCAAAGCGAGTTTTTTTTAAGAAAGAATGCAACGTTGACTAGATTCTTTCTGCAAGAGCGTTCACACGCTCAGGCATAACCGTGTCCCGAAGCAGGAGCAAAGTCTAGATTTAGCGCTCCGATTTGCTTCTTCAGCTCGCCGCCTCTACACACGCACCCGCGACAGCTTCACTCACTGACGTCGGTCTTGTTAATGTGTAGTATAGTACAATTATACTCAGGAGGCGATCCTTTCTTTGTCCCATATTTAAAACAAGTGCGTAGCTCGCACCGTTTAGAGCAACAATGTCTGGGTTTGTTGACAGAAAACATCCCTATCTCGCTCCCGTATCTGTAATTAATCGTCCGTGTCACTGACTTACCGAGGCATTTTTTGTTGCTGTGCAATGCCATTGTCACCTTCGTACAGTATCGAATACAGCCGACGACAGAGTGTACACATAGATTAGACTCCGCGTTTGTCTCTTCTAAACTCAGAGTCAAACTGATGAACAACCAGGAGTCAACTCAATTCTGTGATGCTGAAAAGGCAATCACTGAAAGGCTGATCTGATCTGATATTCTAGGCTTAGCTTATTGCCACGCTGGTCAATTACGAATTAAAAACTTATCAAAACAGGCATCAAAACTGGGCTAGCCGAGAATGGGAACATTCTGGCCAACCCAAATTATCCAAGGCTATCCAGTACTCATTCTGAATAAACAGTAATTGGTTAAACGTCTTCTATAATAAAGCATTTAAAAAACCGTCATACCGTGCTTTCTATTCTTGCTACTTTATTCTATCTCTATTCGTTCACAGGACTTTATAAAAACCGTGTTCGTCCACTCACTCACACTTAGAGCACCATGTCGGCGGTAACCAAGAGCTTTAAGAACGCTTTCCAGGTGTTGACTCCCATGCGGGAGTACGGCGTGGGCAAGCGAGTGACGCGCGGGATCTGGTCCAACTACGAGGAGCCTTCGTACTGGGAGGTGGTGCGAATTCGGCCATCGCTCGACCTTAAGCACGGCAAAGTCTATGGCCGATTCACCTTCCGTGGTGAGTGGCAATGTCGAGGGTTACTGTCTATCCCAAGCCTAAGATGAGTTTTGACTTGGGTTTTACATGGGTTACTCGACAGGCAAGACGGACCCCAAGATAAAGCGCGTCAATGGCGCGTTAAAGAGGGACTGGCGCATTGTAGAGACGGCATAGATAGCGACTCCATTGTCGATGGGAAGTCAGAACTGCCGTGTGTTCAACATATATTGGCACAGAAGCACCTACAAAATAAAGTCCAGTGCTTCGATGCTTCCTGAAACTATGTCCGCAACTCTATCCTGGCTACACTCTAATTGCGTACCCAGTGGACACGCCTGCGGCCGTTAGAGCATCCTTCGATAGCTTCCTCTATAAAACATGCGCTATCGTGCCTCTATCAGCGCCGCAACCTCGATGTCACGAAAAGAGGCACCAAACTCGAAACCTCTCAAACACCATAATCAAAACTAGCATACAGCATTCACGTCTCCCCCGTGAAAGTGCCATACGTATCGACACCCACCGACCACAAATCCCTGAACCCTCTCCAAACCGATCGCTCACCCCTCGCTCCCCTCCCGCTCTACAAGTGTAATACCGGCATCCCCATGCGTCTCCGCCCGCTCCTCAGCGCCGCTTGTCTCTCGCCTGTCTCATGGCCACAACTCAGCAATGCCCTTGAGACCATCGCGACTGCTGCAGATCTTCGAGCCATTGAGCGCTCGGCCACAGTCCACGCGCTGCTGGTGATCAGGACGAACGAAGGAGGTAAAGGCGACGAGAGACCGAGTCCAGAAGAGCTGGTCCTGTCGGCGTATCCGGATCTGCCGGATATCGAAACCGAGCTGGAAGGGCTTGTCACCTTTGGTGTGGTGGACATGGCGGTCCATGATAAAACCTCGGTCGGGAACCAATGGCAGTTACCGAAACTGCCTGCACTGGTTATGTACCAAGACGTACCACGCCTGAACCCTTACACTGGTGAATTGTATCGAGCTGCGACGCCGGCGGACATCTCGTTGTTGAAAAAACCTCAAAAGCTCAAAAAGATGCTCAAATCGGCCATTCCGACCCAATTTGTGTACGAACTTGAAGCGAACGACGCAACGTGGACTTTTCTGACCCAGTTCGTGCAAGAAAAGGCGCAGGAGGTCGAGACGGTGGTATTGTTGATCTCGAAGCAGCGCCATGCTTCGCCCATGTATCGAGCTGTAGCTGCAGAGTTGAGTGACCAAGGTCTGAGTTTTGTGTTTTTGAGCAAAGACGAGGAAGCGGCAGAGGAGGTGATGAAACTGTTGCAAGTGGAGGAAGTACCGGCTTTGGTGGTGCTGAAATCGATGACGGACCACGTTGTGTCAAGTGCAGAGAAGGTGAAGACGTACGGTGCACTCAAGAGCTTTGTGGAGCCTTTTGCAACGCCAAAGGGATCGAAGCGGAACACGTCGAAGGGATCCAAGACAAGCGAGGGAAAGTCGAAGTTTATCCGGTTCTTTTCTGGATCAGAGTTTGATGAGTTGGTTCTGCACTCGGACGTTGTGTGGATCATCGAGTTTATGGACTCTCAGCGGGAGCAGCAAGACTTGGACGAGAAGAAGTGGAAGAAGACTTTGACTCAATTGCACCGTAAAGCTGGTGTGGTGGCGACGGGTGCAGTCAGCTGCGAGAAGGAAGTAGAACTGTGCGAGCGTTATGGCGGATCGGGTGTTCGCGTTTTTCCATTGGAGCTTACCAGTGCGAATAGACTGAAACGTGCTGAGGTTCTCCCGCAAAAGTTCACCACAATTGACGAGGCAAAGGAGACGGCTGTTGCGACGATCCCCGATCTTACTGTCCCGATCACGTCTCCTGCTGAATTGAATGCATTCACCGCTCTCGCACGAGAGAATCACGCGATGCCTGTTGTCTTTTTTACAACCAAAGAGACTACACCACCAATGATCAAGGCTCTCCCGCTGTCCGTTCCGACACAAAAGATCATGGTAGCGGTACTTCACGATGCTGGCGAGGACTTGAAGAAGCAGTTCCTGGTCGACGCATCTGCAAAGACCGCACTGGTATGCTTGGTGCCGAATCAAGTCCAGTCGGAAGGCCCGACTTCTGGTCAGTTTGGAATAATTGCGTACAAGAAGACAACCATGGGCCCCTACACATACCCGAACCTGATGCAGTTCCTTCTGCAAGTTCTTGCTCAATATCCACATCCTCAGGATACCAGGTTCACAAGTGAGGAGGTTGACGTGTCATCACTTGATCTAACGTCTGCCCAGTCGCTTGTGCCCTACGTAACCAAGGAGAACTTCGGTGACCTTTGCGGCGGTAGCAAGATTTGTGTGATTGGATTTTTCGAGGACCACCTGGACACAGTAGCAGACCCAGAGTCTCGTCTAGCTACGTGGTGGATCACGTTGGCGCACGTCGCTGCCCAGAGCGCGCAGCGCGGAGAGCCGTTCCAGTTCATCTGGATGAACGGGAAGTGCCAGAAGGACTTTGCGGAAGCGTTTGGTGTCGGCCTTTTCCAGATGCCGACGCTTGCTGTGTATTCTCCTTCGAAGCAGCGCTTTGCTACGAATGTGGGCATCTTTGACGAGTTGAGTGCGACGGCGTTTCTGAAAAGTGTGCTGTCTGGTAGCAGGAGCACTGCTCCGCTTGTAGGCGTTCCCGAATTAGTCGACGAGTGTCTGTTTGACGAGATTCAAGGAGCAGCACTTGGAGCAGGCGATGTCACTGAAGATGACGGAGACATTGACGACATGCTGAGTGAGATCCTTTCGGATGAAAAGCAGCAGCGTGACGAGCTGGAGAAAGAGTCGGAGTTGAAGCAGACGAAGAAGGGCAAGAAGAAGCGCAAAGCGAAGAAGAACAAGTCGAAGAAGCGGAAGAAAAAAGCAGCACGAGACGAGTTGTAGGGACGGGTTCAGATAGGTGCAAGTACACTTGACCGCGCATTTTTACGCCATTGCAGCAGTCCATAGAGTACTTAGTACCACGTCTACCTGCAAGAATTAATACAAAGTCGTGTGCCACCTCGTTCGGCCACCAATCTTTTGATCGGATCGTTTGTCACGAGTAATTTTGGCCAATGAACAAGCGTCTTCTTGTCGTTTTTGCGTGGAGCACCTTTATTGTGTCCCGTCGTGTACGGTCCTCCCGCCTCGGCGTCCTCCATTCATTTTGACCTTGTTCCACCGCCAGCTTCAGTGAAGATTCCGATATTCCTCCGACTGAAAAATGGGCAAACGTACGTGATTATCTCGTCAAGTTGTCCACAAACAGCGGCTGTCCTTCGTAGAGCAGGGCAGTTTACCTTTCGTGTCTTGAACCTCCTCCTTCTGCTCTCTCTTCTTGCTCCAAGTAGCTCCATTGCAAAACAATTGACTCGATGCCGAGTGTAGCTATGAGATGAAGAGCTCCTCAAATACATGGTGGATGTCGTGCATAGAGGAGGAGGGCTGTAATCACACGAACTTCGTGTGCTGCTGTCATAACTCTCTAGAACCTACTCGATGGAAGATTTATTGCAGTCGACTGATGTTTTTTCTATGGTGTGTTCGTTGTGTCCACTCTACTCGTGCAGACAAACCGTCTGGTATCCGCTGTGCGCGTAAGCTGCGCGTGCACCGCCGTACGCAGCGCTGGGCGCAAAAGTCGTACAACAAGAGCCACTCGGTGACGGCGATGAAGGCCAACCCGCTTGGTGGGTCGTCCATGGCCAAGGGCATTGTCCTGGAGAAGATTGGGATTGAAGCGAAGCAGCCCAACTCTGCTATTCGCAAGTCGTGTCGCGTGCAGCTGATCAAGAACTCGAAGAAAATTGCAGCCTTCGTGCCGCGCGATGGCTGTTTGAACTTTGTGGACGAAAACGACGAGGTGCTGATCTCGGGATTCGGTCGTCGCGGCCACGCTGTGGGTGACATTCCGGGTGTGCGGTTCAAGGTCGTGAAAGTCTCGGGGGTGTCTTTGTTGGCTTTGTACAAGGAGAAGAAGGAGAAGCCGCGCTCTTAGGTGTGAGTCTCAAACAGGGAGAAACGGATCTGTCCGAGCGGGAGCTACAGGACCATTCAGGGACACTAGAACGAAGTGTTTTGGTGCTACTGGACATTGTCAGTGCTCTCTATCGTAATGGGCGTACGGAAGCTGCAGTTCATTGCTAAGACAGTCGGTTTTGCTGGCTTTTAAGCACGGATAATAAGGAATCGCTTACGCAGGTTGATTGGGTTCTGGATAGTTTGATGATGTGTGAGGTGTCGTCTGACGTGACTTTGTCTGCAGTGATTTCTACTTGGCGAGCTGTAAGGCTGTCACACTCTAATTTCAAGTCGGTCTGCAGCTTGACTGCACTGTAGCTCTTTGCATAGGTCTTCACGACTCAGCCAGTCGTGAATGAAAAGCCACTTTGGGGTCTACGAAACCTCACAAGACGACTGTTGCAGCCTAGAGATGACATCAATCAAATGTGATTCCTTCGCGAACTACACTTGCCAAACGTGATATGTTTTGGTCGTCACATTTAGCATCAAGCGCTGATGAACCTTGAACATAAAGCTGCTTTATGTTCAAGATTCGTGTGCATCAATGATCAACCCTACCGTATTCTTGCGCACCAAGGCACAACGCAACACGTCCGTTCCGATGTACTGCATATAGCGTGAAACTGCATTAACCCACAATCGTAGCCATCACCTTCTCACATTTTAAACTGCTGTAGAATGCCCTGGCACCTTGCTAATTGTGTGGGCGGAAAAGTTCCTTATTAAAATGCGTTGGCTTAAACTGGCACTGCCAATCACTGCCAACACTCCCAAGAAAGCCTTGCAAGCGGTATAAATTTACATCGTGCTTGTTGTGAGATTCAAACTGTTTCGTATTCGCCACTTCATCGTGGTCCAACACTATTGAGACCAGCATGGGCGAGGTATTCTACTGCAAAGACATCTCGCATCATTGCTCTCGCTCTACGTTTACCATCACGATCAATCGATCCTTTTGCTATGAATACGGCAGTCTCATGACCATTTCTCAACAAATCTAGCAGCTATCAATTTCCAGTTTTTGCAAGGTGTCAGACTCGCCCTTGGACCATCACTATCGCTCTGCTCTTGATACTAGCTCGCTGCATTCAAACCTGCCTGACACGGCAGGATGGTGGTCCGTATACACTTCCATATTTTACGGCTTTCATAAATTACGGTTGTGTTACGATAGAAACGCGATGCATGTCGCCAGTCTTAGAACCCGTCGAAAGCGCAGTACCCATCTTCATTCTACGATTTCATTCGCTAAAATCAACACATCGGCCATTTTGGGTGTTATTTCACACCAAAATATTGCAAGAATTAGAAACGGCGTCACTTGTCAATTTGCATCATAAAAGAACAACAGCGATGGTCTTGCAAGTCGAGCTAATTCCTGTCTTGTCCGATAATTACGCCTACCTTCTCATTGACTCTACCAATCGTACGCTATTCTCTAACCATATCAATCTCCAATCGTTAATTGTGTCGAATAAAGTGCTTGTATTTGGTGTCGACAGATGTGGCAGCGGCAGTTGATCCCGTGGATGCCCAGAAGGTTTATACTCGTGCCAAAGAGCTTCAAGTTGACATTTCCATGATCCTCACCACTCATTCACACTGGGACCATGCCGGTGGAAATTCAGACCTTGTTAACCTGATTCAGAAGAAGGAGAAGCGTCAAATTCAGGTCATTGGTGGACCGGGAAGTGCTGTGGAAGCCCAGACTCACTCCGTTACTGATGGAGACGTGTTACAGCTTGGGGATCTAAATATCAACGTCTACTATACTCCGTGTCACACTCGTGATCACGTGCTGTACCATTGCCGAGACGCACTGTTTACTGGCGACACGCTGTTTGTTGCTGGATGTGGAAGATTCTTTAGTGGAACTCCAGCGGAGATGCACTACGCTCTGAACGAAGTGGTGGCCAAGTTACCAGAAGAAACAAAGATTTACTGTGGCCATGAGTATACTGCAAGCAATTTACGCTTTGCTGCACACGTGGAACCAGACAACGAAGCGGTGCAGAGAAAACTGGCATGGGCTATTGAGAAAACAGAGGCGAAGGAGCCTACCGTTCCGTCGACAGTGAAGGAGCAGTTGGCGTTGAATCCGTTCATGCGAGTGGAGGAAGCTACGGTGCAGCAGTTTGCAAATGGAGAGAAAGATCCCGTAGAGGTGATGAGGATTGTGCGTGCTGCCAAGGACAAGTTTGTGATTGGAAAGTAGAGATGTTGAACTTGATGGGACGTCACAGGCGTTTTGCAGTAGCGTTACTCTGTCCTGTTGTCGAAATCTTGTGTTTCGTGACGACTAGACACCAGAGAATTAATGTCACGACTCCTAGTAGCTGGAAAGACCCATTCTGCAAACGCAATTGATTTCTTAATAAACGGCGATTGGTTCCAAAGATGGACCAACCAAGAAAAAATCTCTACGCATAGGCTGGCTACATCTGCAACGCTGCACACAAGAATTTGTCATACCTTAGCAAGCTATGCGTAGTCGCTACTTGCTGATTGTTCATCTGCTAAAGTCCTCGGCAACACCTGCTTCGATCTGATAATGTTAGTATATTACATTTCGATTGTGCTTGATTATCAATCCAAATGTTATCACGGACGACGCATGAACTATTAAACCACGAAAGCGGAACAACTAAGCCTGGCTTAGTGTAAAACCGTTAGTAAATAGTTCGTGCTGCGAGTAAAATTGTAGTGTATTTTGTCGATCTCGCATATCCATATCCTGCATTGCGGTCACTTTTTCGATTGTATCGGCCCGATTGTTGTGCTGTTTGCCAAAAGGGCGAGATAGTCGTTATTTATTTGTCACTTTTGTGCTCATTTGCGGATGCGGAGAATATGCTGTAGCGGTGCGAGGTAAGGAAGAAGGGCCATGGATCACCACCTCGAAACGTAGCGAATACATATGACAATCAAATTGCTTGCACGTTGTTGACTCTAAAATGACGCTAAAGACATTGTCAGCAGCTAACACTTTCTAGCTTAAATGAATCGATTCGATCGGGATCAACTTATCCAGTCTACAATGATCAGTGGACATACTTCCGTTCTGGACATTGACGAATTTGTACTTGACGACACCTAGTCAATCTCAGCCGATATCGTAGAAGCTTGTGATAGTGGCGAATAGCAAGCACTTGACATCATCGCAATGTGTCAAGGCTTTAGGTTCATGTACGACGATAACATCGACACGTATGACCGATTCACTGTTTATAGCTGTGTAATTCGCTCTCACTGGTTTTAGCAATGAGTACAGAAGCTAAGCAAAGACATCTACACTCATTGTGCGTTTAGTTAAGCCTGTTTGTGTTTATAAAAATTGAACAAATAGCATGATCATCAGAAAGTGTACCGATGACTTTTGCACCTCTGACACCATACCTAAACTTTGCCTGATACCATTACACACGGAGTATATGATGCGTACACTTTACCTTGCCAAGCTGTCCCCAGAGCGTACATTATCATGATTAGTTGACGGATCTCAGGCAACTTTTAGTTTCTAGCACGAATCTCAGCGTCTACCGTCTTTTGACGATTGCACCGATTGCAAGACATGACACTGCTCTCGTGAAACGGTTCATGTGTACGTTTAATGAGATTAGACGTTGGAAATCGCAGACGCGTCTCGATTTCTTGAATTTGTGAGAGGCTGGCAGATATTTTACAAATTCCTGCGACTCTGGTACCTTGTATATCTTCACTTGCTAGAATGCATCATCGTTGTACACAATATGAGTATAGTGCGAGTCATCTTCAACGACCGTCGTGTACGTAATCCGACGCCATTACAACAGGTAAAAAGCGAGATTTATAATTGCTACCGATACAAGCAAAACAAAAGCATTGCTACAGCGTCAGAACCGAAATCACAACTGTAAGAGTATCGTAGTGCTCAATACAATGCATACATCTCTGCTGAATTCTATAGAAATACTACACAAATTTCTATACTGCTGTAGGTTGTCCGACCACACGAGTGTTGTAGCAACAATTACCTGAATATCCGACCCGGGGCGCTTCGTGAGAGATCGATACTATTTCAATAATCACGTCGTGAGGTGCTGTAAGCTAGAGCGAGATATAGTGTACATCGTGCTAAGCCCCCTTCGACAGGCCGAAACGATATTGTATTCAGCTTGAGCGACGTCGATACGTCAAAGACATCACGAATTTTCCCTTGTTCACGCTTGTATAAAATGCGGCTACACTTGCTCCGCGGCGTCTTTTATGCTTGCAGAGGTATCAGCGCCAAAATTAGGAGTGTGGTGTGTACGCAGAGACGTACCACTTTCTATTATTCGCACGAGCTGGAAAGCCCCTAAAATATGAGAGAATGAGATATCTTGAAGTCAGGGAAAGTCATTCAGCAAGAGAGTTCCTTGATCACGGTACTCGCCACTTGCAGATGATTGCAGGTGAAAACCACAGCACCAAGTTCCACTCTTTCACCTCGTTTTGTCTTCAGCGTCTATCGTCTCATAAATTACTGCCGCAGTTGCTGCAAAATCTTGTAGGTATCTAGGTTACGGATAGCCTTATCGCCACCGTTCAGCCATTTTAGCTCTGCCCGACAAAGCTGTAGTTGATCACGATCAACATCAGTCGTGACACGCACTTTTGTCTTGATCTTGAGTGAGTTCACTCAGTAGCTCCGTTGCACGTGCGACCACGTTTGGTGGACACCCAGCAAGAGCAGCAGTGTTGACTCCATACGACTGGGAAGCAAGGCCTTCCACTACCCGGTGCGAAAACACAAGTTGTTTCGTTTGGCCTTCAACGTGGTGCTCGATAACTTCCATTCGATACGGCCGGAGATTTCCTGAACACGTACCGCCAACCAAGCTGCTCAACGCAGTGAAATGCGTGGCAAATAATGTCCGAGTCTGTCTTGCACATAATGTCTCGAGAACAGCTCCAGCTATTGCAATACCATCATTTACAGCAGTGCCGCGGCCCACTTCATCCATTACAACTAGAGAACGACTGGTTGCCTGCGTCAGGACTGTCGCGGTCTCTTGCATTTCTACCATAAATGTGCTTTTGTCAGCTGCCAAATCATCTGCTGATCCAACCCGACAGAAAAGCTTGTCAACCAGGCCGACACGAGCAAATTTCGCCGGTACAAAGCTACCCATTTGCGCCAGGATCACAAGATGCGCACTTTGCCGCAGGAAGGTGCTCTTTCCGCCCATGTTAGGGCCTGTAAGCAACCAGCAAGAACCCACTGGGGCTGCTGCCAGGTGGAGACTGTTGGGCACAAAAGTACGCATGCTTCGAGCATTTTTGCCTCGAAGGTGTGCAGCTTCCACGACTGCATGTCGTCCGTCTTCAACGTGCAGCTCGCAACTGCCATCAAGCAACGGTCGGGTAAAGTTGTGGTCGAGAGCCATTTGAGCGTGAGAACAGACGACGTCTATCTGAGAGATTGCGTGGGCCATAGTTTGCAACTCGGTACGCACAGCCAATACTTGATCACGTAGTGCCGTGAAAACACCGTTTTCTACGCGCTCTACCTCCACTGCGGCTTCCGTGAGCTCACGATTCAGCTGTCGCAACTCCTCGCTGCGGTATCGTACCGAGTTTTTAGTGACTGGAATAACGTCAGCTTCTCTAGTTCGCGACGTCCACGGTCGGTCTTCAGCAGTTTTGTGTTTTCATCGTGCGGGACATCCAAAAGTATCCCTTTTCCACCTGGAAAACAACACGTAGCCGCGTAGATCCTACTAGTTCGCGATACTTGGCCTGCAACTCCTGCTTTTCTGGAGATTTTGGGTCATGCCGCAGAATAGCTCGCCATTTGTCCAGTTCTAGGGAATACCCAGCACGAACGAATCCGCTCTTGGAGTTGAGCGATGCGTAATCATCTTTGAGTGCTGCATGAATTTCGTCAGCAGCCTTTCTAATTCTCTCGCGTTGCTGCTCATTGGCAACAAGCCCATGACAGCAGTCATCCAGTAGTGTGGGAAAACTGAAGGCGCTGTTTCCAGGTAGGTCCGGGAGACGACTGCGTCTACGAAGCTCATTAGTCCGTACAAGATCAACTAAGTTTTCGGCTTCAACAATAGTCGAGGCAACGTTTTTCAGATCTTTTGGGGTGCCAATACCAATCGAAAGCCTTTGTAGGTTTCGTTCCATGTCAAAGACTTCTGCTAGTTGTTTCCGCGTGCGTTGAAGCAGATGCTCTTGCTCGTAGAAATACGAAACAGCATTCAGTCGACGATCGAGAAGTGTGAGGTTCATCAGTGGAGAGGATAAATGAGCCTAGGGATTGTCCAAATCATCAGTCCTTGTACTCTACAGAACGGTACAATAGCAAGCATTGGCACCTACCGCAAGAAGCCGTGAGCCACCAGGCGTTGTCGTTTGATCAATAGTGTGGAGTAGACTCGATGCTTTTGAGCCACTAAGCGACTTTGTGAGCTCAAGTCCTCTCCACGCGCTCGAGTCGATAATCATGTGGTCAGAAGATTCAACGTGAAGTGGTTCTCGGACTAAGGCACTCGATCCTCGGTAAGTGAAACGCACGTAGTCCAGTATCGCTGATACAGCTGCTTGCTCTGGTGAGTCAGGTGCATTTATGGTACTGGCACGACCTTGACGCCTGCTACTTGGTGTTTGCGGAATAAAACTCGCAGCAGGCCGAAATGTTTTCATGCACGTGTCCGGAAGCACTGCTTCCAGTAATTCAACGGCATTCGGAGGCATGTCGGCAGCCTGCAAGCCCATTGTCTCAATTTCAGTCTCATCCGTCAAACTAGGCAGTAGAATTTCTTTTGGCGAGCACCGCAAGATGGCGCTAGACAATTTATCACCTGACGAAGTGGTCGACACGAATTCGCCCGTTGACAGGTCAGCCCACGCAAGTCCCCATGTACCCTCTTTGTAATAAAGAGATGCCAAATAATTGTTCTCCTTTGGTGTAAGCATCGTATCTTCCAGCAGCGACCCAGGCGTGACAATTCGCACAACTTGTCGGTCTACAAGAGAGTTCAGTCCTCTCCGCTTTGCGCTCGACGCCGGCTGCAAGGCCACCAAATCGATACCAGACGAACGTGATAAGTGCCACAAGCATTTTTACAGTATGCAAACAGTCCATACCTCTTTAACCCTACCTCAACTTGGTTGCAAATTGCCACTTTAACACCATGATGCATCACCTACTTGAGTTCACATCAGCGCAGTATCAGTATACAAAAGCTCAGATAATGAATCCATCGTTAGAACCCAACTTTTCCAAAAAAGAATTGCCTCACGTACCAACTTCTCTACGAACGAGTCTACCGATCCAATAGGGAAGCCGCACATTGCACTTAGCGCGTGTTGCGTCTTTTTGGTCTTCCTTGTCAGTGCTAAGTTCAGCAGCTGTTTCCAAAAATTAAACACCAACATTTAGTCCTCTCGTCAAAAAAAGCATCCTCCTTCTTTTTCGCTTTTTTAATTCAGAGCTTTTTACATGAGCTGCTCGTCTTGCATCATCCCCAAAGAACTCATAAAAGTCTCCCACTTGAAACAGCAGCATACAGTCTGTTATTACGGCATCAACAAAATACAGGTTACAAAAGATCGAGATATTTCATACTGGATAAAACCCACAACATTTGAGCAGAAGCTTGATACTAGACCTGGATACTCCTTCTTGCGAGCGAGATATTGCGCGACCATTGGAGTCGTTTTCGTCGCCTCATGATCGGTGGAGTTTTCACCGTCACCCTTTGCAGCGGATGATAGATACTGCATACTGTTACGGTACTGGCAGCGGCGGTATAAGAATTTATCCGTTGAAACGGATAAACAAGCACGCGGATGAAGTCTTTGACCGCGGCACAGTCGTCGTAGCAGCATTGGTTGGCACACACTTGAAGTGGATATTATCGATGATGGATTTTATCTCGAGTCTTTTTTTGATTTTATCCTTGACGTCGCATCGCTTATTTACAACGTCGAATAGGGTGCGACGTGGTGACAAGCAAAAGTTGACATTGTTAAATTAATGTGATGTTCAATAAAAATCATCGTGGACAGGAACGTTCACTCGAAAGAGTGTTGTTGTTATGCATTAAAGCAGTCGGTGTTACAGCCCTAGCAGTTTGTAGATCTTTGAGTATAAATTCCTTTTGTTGTAAACGACACTTAATGCTGTAATTAGTTCGTGTCAGCTCTTGCTCTACATTGCTAGGACGGACGTGGTGAGCGAACGGCGTTAGATGTAAATCATCTATAGACAGATGTAACGGGGTGAATCGTTACGTAACAATTTATAAGAAATTGTTAATAGAATATAACTATAAGAGTTATATTCTCAGAATATTGTCATAAGGACAAATATTCTGTAGCACTTCCAAGTAGTTCCTAATTGGTTGATATAGGCCATTATATCAACCAACGAAGACGCGCCACGACAGACGCACGCAATGAGTGGTGAGCAGATAACTGATTTACACATTTGTATTTAGACATAGTTAGATGAAGATAAATAGTGATTTATTGCAGACATTAACTATTATAAATACAGTTCTACTTTTTACTCTAACCGAGTACTCGCTTCTTCTTACCGTCTTCCTCTGCACGTACGAGTGTACGTGAAGTTACGAGGCACCGCCTTATTCTGTTATCAGAATAAGTAGCTTGTACTGTCACCAGTACAAGCTTCAGGAGTGCCCCGTTACACCTGGTAGCACTTTGTAGTCCGTCCAAGGACCGCGTTCACATCCAACATGAATATGTTGGATGATGAAGATGACCAAAGCTTTCACGCTACGCGTGACGGCTACTCCCATTTGAGCGATGTCGAATGGGATGCGGTTGAACGAATGGGTTCGACCATGGGCATCCATGCTGTTAGCGTCATGCTAGAGGCTCTCAATAGAGACGCCCAACATGCTACTATCGCCAAGTTCATCCAAAATGAACTTGACGCTGAACGCGAGAAAGTAGCCTTGCTTCACCAACAAGGTTCTCAACAAGCAGAGTTGTTGAGAGAACAAGGTGCTCAACAGTTTGAACTGTTGAGACAGCAGCAGGCTGCTGCTGGCGGGTCGATGCACTCGCGTCGGCCCGAGACTTTGAAGATTGACATCTCAAAGTATAGAGGGGTCGAAGAAGACTCCCTCTTGAGATGGTTCGTCGAATTGGATGACGCCATAAGGGCGCGTCGCATCGACGACGGGGATATGCAAGTTGCATTTGCCCAGTCAAATCTGGCAGGACGTGCCAAGACTTGGGCACTGGGGCTCAAGCTGCACGACCCATACGCGTTTGGGTCGTTGGAAGTCTTCAAGTCGCGGCTCAGACAAACGTTTGAACCGCCTAGAGCTGAGTTCAGGGCTCGAACCGAACTCTTGAAGCTCAAGCAGGGTAAGCGTGATGTGCACGCTTACGCTCAACATATACGACATCTTACGAGTTGTATAAGTTCCAATCCAGTGGATGAACACACGTTGGTTTCGGTGTTCATGCAGGGTCTTGCGGATGGTCCCGTCAAGACTCACCTGTTCCGGCTTGAACTAGATTCACTAGAACAAGCCATTTCCATTGCGGAGCAGGAAGACTTCAGTCTGAGACAGGCTCGCGCCAGCTCGACATCATATCGTCAACCGAGACGATATGACAACGGAGGTCCAGAGCCGATGGAACTCTGTTATGTAGAGAGCGAGAAGGCTCGCTCTACAGGCTACAAGAAGTTGCAGAGATGCAAAAGATGTCAAAAGACAGGACACTACGCTTACGAGTGCAGTGCCCCTCGTCCAGTGTCTCGCGACACTGGGCGTAGTGACCGTCCACCCATGAGAAAGGGGCAGGGACGAGGGTCCGCAGTTGGTGCAAAGACGCAACAACGGGATGGACCGTCAAAAAACGGACAGGATCAGTAGGTGCGGAGCACCCTACTGATCCAGCAACGTCAAGAGAATTTGTAGGCCTCTTGATGAAGGTTGCTCCCAACACACAAACGTTGTGCGTTGCTGCTCTAGGTAATGAGATCTCACTCATTACCTTGAAACTCGAAGTGACGAATAAGTTGTCCCTTCGAGCTCTAGTCGATTGTGGGGCGTCCAACAATTTTGTGCGACGCCAATCGCCAGAAGATGGTCACTTTAAGTTCAGTGAATGTGACACACCTCCTACGAGGATGACGGTACGTCTTGCGACAGGCGCATCCGTAACCGTCATGAAGCGTATAGTGAAGATTCACTATACGCTAGAAGATACCCAATATGACGATGACTTTATCGTATTGGATTTGGATGACAAATTTGATGTCATCCTTGGAATACCGTGGCTCAGAAGGTACGAACCACGGGTAAACTGGCAACATCGGACAGTAACGATGCCTGCCGCTTGTTCATCAGATGGCCATCTGATGAACGTTTTGGAGCGTCCACAAGCGTGTGGATGTACTACGAGTGAGTGCGATGGCCTCACTTGTGGTACGGTCGTTAGTACGACTGCACAAAACCTTAGTGTACCAAACGGTTACACTTCGGAGCAAAGTTCCGGCGGCTGTGAGGAAACACAGGCTGCGCCGAAGGTCCACCACTCGAATAAGTCGGGTGGACTGGGACAAAGATGTATCCCTAGAGGGGAACATCTAGAAGAGAAACAATCGATCGCTCAGGTTAAGCGAAACGATAATCCTAGATCGACTGGAGAGTCTTTCGTAGAGGATCTCGCTGTGGTTGCGCAACCCCAGCTAGAGGAAGTAAAGGGAATAAGTCCCAAGATTACAAATACGGCGGAAATAAGTTCCCCGAAACCCGCGGGAATAAGTCCCCGGGAAGACGAAGGAATAAGTCCTTCGAAGCCTGAGGGAATAAGTCCCCAGGAAATGACAGAGACATTGAATGTCATAGTCAATGACGGATCGAGTGTAGGCGCTTATACACTTGATCTGATTGCGCCTCCGAAGTTAACTTCGGAGATCACTCAGTTGCCAACGCTCGAACATAAAAGGTTCTTGCGTGATCTGCGTAGTGGCAAAGTCAAGCAGATCTGCATACTCGTCGCTGACGACGAGTATGTAACCGACATAAGGTCAGCAACAGTGTTTACTGAGAACGAGAGAGTTCTCAGTAGTTCATCTATGGACGAGAGTGTCCTAGATGAAAAGACACGAATTGAGCGATATGAGTCCCAATCATGGGAATCGCTCAAGAAAAATCCTCTCTATGAAGATTTGGTTGAATTCAAGGATGTATTCCCTGAAACTGTTCCGTGCGAATTACCGAAGGATAAAGGTATTCGACACGAAGTCGAGCTTAAACCAGGCTCGAAGTACTGTGTCATGAAGCAGTGGCCACTGCCTCGTGAACAAGTACTTGCGATCGACAAGTTCTTTGCCGATCGTTTAGCAGCGGGCCATGTGAGGGAATCAACTTCCCCACATAGCTCTCCGACCTTCTGTGTGCGAAAAGCAACAGGAGGGTGGCGGATAGTGCACGCGTTTAACAAATTGAACGCTGCAACGGTACCGGCTCAGACGCCGATACCGAGGAAGGACGTAATCATTGATGGTATGTCAAAGAGTACCATCTTTTCGTCCATGGATTTGATGGATGGCTTCTATCAAATCCTAATGCGGGAACAGGATATACCCTATACCGCAGTTAGCACGCCTAGCGGCATGCTCTGGGAATGGCTAGTAATGCCACAAGGGCTCAGTAATGCCCCTGCCACGTTCAACAGGTGTGTATCACATCTGTTGAGGCCAGTACGAGAATTCGCGCCGAGTTATTTCGATGACGTATTCATCCATAGTCGAGCTATGGATGGAAAGTCGGACGTTGAGTTCACAAGTACCACGTCCGACAAGTTCTTACAATCATGCGAAAGCATCAATTGTATGCAAACCTCAAGAAGTGTATATTTGCAGCAAGCGAAATACCACTTCTTGGGTGCATCGTTGGTAAGAACGGTGTACGTCCTGATCCCGAAAAGATCAAGGCGATCACCGACTGGCCCGTGCCGGTCGATGTCAAAGGTCTTCGAAAATTCCTTGGGCTAGCGGCGTATTTGCATAAGTATTCACGCAATTACGCCGAGATGACTGTACACCTCTCTCGTTTGTTGAAAAAGAACGAGAGGTGGTTATGGAACGCTGAATGTCAACGCTCCTTTGAGGGTATCAAGCAGAGCTTGATACAATCCCCAGTCCTAGCAATAGCCGATCAGGACAGGCCATTTCATGTGGTCTGTGATGCCAGCGATTTCGCAATCGGCTGTGCATTAATGCAGTACGACCTTGAAGGCGTTGAACGCGTCGTCTGCTATCAGTCGCGTCAGCTGCAACCAGCTGAGCGGAACTATCCAGTGCATGACAAGGAACTCCTTGCCATGAAGTATGCACTAGCGAAGTTCAGAGTCTATCTATTAGGAGATAGACCCTTCGTTGTTTACACTGACCATGCGTCCTTACGCACGGCAGTGAACAGCCCGCACCTTTCACAACGAATGGCGCGGTGGTTGTCATTCTTTGCAGAATACAACTTTACGGTCGAGTACAAACCAGGACGACTTAATGTCGTCGCTGATGCACTCTCACGTCGTCCCGACTTTGAAACAGTCGCGAAACCCAACAGTGAGACAGTCACTGTTGCGGTTATGACGTCCTCAGTTCCATCTACAACGTTGTATGATGATGTGAGGCGGGCATACGCCCAAGATGGTGA